CCCTGGTGGTGCCGAAGCCCCCGCAGTCCGTGGCCGCGGCCGTGCTGGCGTTCGTGAGGCGGTGCTGGGTGCGCCATGCGCCGCGCAGATCGCTTGGCTGTGGGAGCCGTTCCGGGGGGAGATACTGTAGTTTGGCAACTGCTGTGGTTGTCAGGACCGGTGTGGGCTGAATTACGTGTTTTCTGGTTTTCCTAAGAAATAATACTCTCCGCAGAGCAATACGGAACTTTCATCCTTTAATTTTATGATTGCGGAGAAGTGGAGGTTCGGGTCGGCGTCAGGCGATGGCAGAGCTCTGGGCAGTCCGGGTCACAGGCGCCGTGTGCTGAAGCTGAGGGGTTATGTCTCTGCCACCGTGCTCTCCTAAAAGTCACAACTCGGGTATCTGATGTGACTCACCCAATTGAGGCTGTCATAACAGGGCACACGTAGCACTCTGGGCTTTACCTCGTGGTGACAATTCTGTACATGAAATGTTGTGTGTAGTTTCCCAGCCTTTGCTGTTCTCCTTACCCCTCCTATGGGGCATCGGAGATCCCAGCGTGAAACGAAGCTTATGCGAATAGCTTTCTTCCCGTGCTCAGATGTCAAAACAAATTCTAGCTCAAGTGAGTCACAGCGTTTGGGAATTTAGAGGTAGATGTAGACTGACACAGTTCCGTTTACTAGAAAATGGCTGCAAGGTGTATTTTTTTTCTTTTTTTTAAGTAGCGCAATGGCAGGTTAGTTGTGAACAGATAACCTAATAAAGAGCAAAATATAAAGGCAGATTTGGCTGAGTTGAGGTGAAAAACATGGTAGAAGAATGAAAAAAAAATTACTTTATTATTGCCTTTCATATTTTCTATTCATTTTCTTTAGAAGTGACTGTTAGATGGGAAGGAGAGTATGGTCGAAGAAAAATTGGGTTTTCAAAAACTCATGAATAACAAATGTAATTTTGAGTATTCTTAAGTTTCAGCTCTGCTCTGAATACAGGACAGCCCAGGATAGTTCAAAATGACACAGAAATTTAGGGAAGATTAGGAACTGTAAATAAGGATATGATTATATCTCTTCCCCTCCACCTTCTTTTCTTACTGCCATCTTGCTGCATACTCTTTTTGACTGGAAAATGTCTGTTGGATCTGGGAGAATTTAGGATAGGAGATTGTTCAGCTTGGCTGTTACATAATTCCAATATTAATTAAAGGGAAATTTCAAGTATGGGCAGTGAATTTTCTTTAATGCATCTGTGTCAGGCTTGGAAACATCACCTGGTTGAATATAAGATGCTTTCATGGCTAGCACTGGCAGGTGCCTAAAATTCTTGACTCTAGCAAGCTGTAGAATACATAGGAAAAATTAAGGGGGGTGTGGGGAAAAAGCTCAGTTAGAATGTTTTGGTATCTGCTTTAACAGCTTTCAGTAAATTCCGTCCAGGACTTAACTAATGTGCTTAGGACTCCTGCTGCAGGGTAATCTTAAAACCTTAAAGCTGTATTCTAGGAGATAGACTTTTTTTTTTTGTGTGTGTGTGTGTATTGCATTGAAAAATGTTATATGAGAGGTTTGAGGATTTTTTTGTTGTTGTCAGGATGGCACTATATCTAAAAAGTGCTGGTAGGTATGGAAACTTGTTTATTCATAGTACAGGTTTGGGTTTTATAGCTGTTTTTGCAGATGATAATTCTCAGAACTCCAGTATATTTTATTTATGATCAGCTTAATTGTAAGTATTTGTGCATGTTCCTGACAGCTGTGAAAATTACTTTATAATGAAAAAACAAGAATAGCGCTTGAAATTCTGTTTGTTAGTACTTATATTTGAAAATAACATTCGTGTTTCAAATGTCAGTATTTGTAGTTCAGTGAGCAATATTGTTAAAGAAACTTCAGCCTTTGATATCATGCTTATGGTTGGGCAGGAATAACATGGTTTGACTGTAAGCTTCCCTCCCCCTTCCTCTTTAAGATATTTAGATTCTGCAAATCAAAATGCCACAGAAACTTTAAAAAGAAGAGAAATCCCAGAAAGATGAGATGGACCAAAGCATTCCGGAAAGCAGCTGGCAAAGAATTGACGGTGGTAAGAAGTTGCACTGATTAACACTTTACATTAGCTCACTAAAATGGCAGAAATCTACCCTTTTCCAGTTGCGAGCGGGTTAGGTTAGCTAGCTTAATGTGTTAACATTTAATTAGATGAGCACAAGGGATGGGGTAAGTGGAGAAAAGAGGGATTGTGGATAAGGATGTGAGAGTTTTCCTGAGAGTGGGCTATTCATTTAGCTTGACTGTAACTTGGAACATCAGTTTCAGTGTGGAAGCCAGTGTATCAGGGTCTGAGTTGGTGATACATGGCAGTTCCCATATCAAGGTATTTTTTTTCCATCTATAAATCTCCTACTCTCTTTACATACACATTTGGTAGTTGTTTTTTCTGCACAATAAGATAATTTGGGTTACCAGGTACTCCAAGAAGTCTTGCTATGTAGACACATAAGACCTTTTGAGGTCTCAAAGCATACAATGTATAGGAAAAGACCTTGCATAGATAGGAATGTTTCAAAAACAGCATCTTAAAATAGTGAAAAATCAATTTCAAGGCAAAGTTACGTAAGTGGTAAAAATAGTAAACGCTCATGTTTAGTCGGACAGTCCTTAAATAATTCAAGAATTACTGTGACTTAATTACCTGGTTTTTGTCAGAATACTATAAATTTAATAAGTATTTTGACACTGCTGCCTTCTGTGGATCTTCCTGTGCATGTAGGTTAGAAGGCCGTGGCACTTTGAACATCTCTACTCTTATGAGACATCGTTTTGCTGTTTGTGGTGTGTTCTTATGGTACAAAACTGCTGTATATTATAAATATGTAAAAGCTGACATGGTTTAGGATAAACTGCAGTGAATTAATGTGGTGCTGTGTCACGCTTGGCTAAAAATGAATTCTAGGTAAATTTTCTTTTTTTTTTAAGAGTAAGAGTGGCATGTAGGTATTAGAGAACCGTGTGCTCTAGTTTGTATTTTGGATATTTTGCTTGATGCTATCCCATGGTGAAAACTGACATTCATCTGCCAGTGGAGCATGGCTTATGAGCGTGTACATGCCATTTCTTGCTATTCTGTGAAGTTTAAGCCATTAGAGCTGTCTTTAGCTCAAGTGGAGATCAGCAGCTGGTCTAATAACTCCGCTTTACCACTGCAGAAATGAATCTGTGGGCAGGGAAAAGCCCTGAGATAAAGTTAGTATATAAAGCTACGTATGCCTAGAAAAAAACAAACAAACAAACAAACAAACAAAAACCCCAAAAGAAACAAAAAAAAACTCCAGGAAACTGTTTTTATATCTTAAAGTCTTAGAAAATAACAAGAAAAAGAAAAATGCCCAGCTGCCCCAAACACTACAATGTCATCAACTGAAATATTTAACGATTTCGAATGATTTTGTATTGTTTCAGTATTCTTAAAATTAAATAGTGTTTCTTTTTTGAACGTTTTCAAAATTACAGACTGTTGAGTAGAACTTATTTGACCTGCACTAAATGCTTTTGACTCTACATGTTTTCAATTTTCCCTTCCACCTGTCTAGTCTGCTCTGTTTTTCCTACTCCACATTGGTCTTCTCTGTTCCTTTTGTCTTGCTAAAAGGAAAATAGCCGTGGGAGATGTTTTAGTAAATAGTTCTCTTCAAACAAGTCACTGTGGCTTCTGACACTTTGAGGTCAAACACTCTACTCTCTTTTCTTCTAGTTTAGTAATCTCTAAAGGTTGTTAGTATAGAAACTGAGATTCTGAGAGAGAAAAAAAAAAAATGTAAAATATTAAGTTGTATGAGTGAGTGCTCTAGTAGGAATGTGTTGATCTAAATATACTTCTGTATATAATCTATATTTACTTTTTCTTAATATAGGATAATTCATTTGAGTTTGAAAAACGTAGAAATGAACCAGTGAAATATCAGAGAGAGTTGTGGAACAAGACTGGTGAGTCATTTTGGAAAAAAAAAACAAACAAAAGATAAACTATGGGGAGTGAACTTTTACTCTACATGAATATGTTTTCCAAATACTTCTTAGAATATTGATGCTTTGTAGTGATTGTGTTTGAAATGACTGGAATCATGACCAAATTCTTACGTGTGGAGAAGGTTTGAGTTGTGAATAGGTGTGGCATTTCACTTGATTTTTATATTTTATTTTTTTCAGAAACTGGTTAGAAAATGAGGTGCAGCATTCCTCTCTTTTCAGTTATTATCTTCAAAAATCTTAATGATACTTCAGCTTTTTAAGGGGCTCCTAGTGTAAGCCTTTTATACTGATGCAGTTGTTTCTTTGTTCCTGCTCATTCCATTTCAGTTTAATAAATCAATTGCTATAAGATGGAAGGGTTACTCATGTAATGAATGAGTGCCACAATTTCAAGTAAAGTAAGTCTCTTTTAGTGATGGCTAATTGTAGAAAATACGTGTAGGCACAGAAGTGGAAACATAAATAAGTTTTAAAATACAATTCTTCATAGTTGGTACACAGTATATTCCCCTACTCTGCTCTTTGAAGAAGGAATAACTTTTTCTATATAGTCTAAGAGTTGCCTCTGATATAGAAAGACTGGTAGTGTTACTCTGCAAAATAGCATGCATTTTCAACTGTAGATATGTAAACACCTTTAAAACAATTCTGCTTTATTTCAGTTGATGCAATGAAGAGAGTGGAGGAAATAAAGCAAAAACGCCAAGCTAGATTTATTATGAACAGGTGAGGAAAAGTATTTGTAAAAATCTGTGTTAAACAGTCTCTCCAGAGAAATAATGATCGAAAGTGTTAAGTGATTATTTGCTTTGTACATATGCAGTTGTCCAAGTGATGGGGTGAAATAGTTAGAGTGGGCTCTGCTCCTCTACCAAACTATTATGATTTATTGGCTGTCCAATGAAATGTAGCTTGATACTCAATGATAATAGCTTTATTTTGTTGTTTGTAATGTGGAGACTCAGATTTAAAAAAATTTCTGGTAATAGTTGATATAGTGCTGGCTTTTTTTCTGGTTTTGTATCCAGTATTTCCTTATAATCACAGTTATTTACAGTTTACATACCTCTAGCTAAAGATGGGTGTCGTGCATTAAAATGAAAACATACCTCCTTCAAGGTAATTACATTTAATTTTCCTCCTCCCTAGATTAAAGAAGAGCAAAGAGTTGCAGAAGGCAGAAGACATCAAAGAAGTCAAACAGAATATCCACCTTCTTCGTGCTCCACATGCAGGTAAGAACTTGCTTTACTTGGTTTGCTTAGGTTAACTTGTGTATACAATTTTATTATGAATATTGAGGTTTTTTGGTGTGACTGATTCTACAGATCAATAATCCTGTGCATTTTTCTTAGATTTAATTTGTCAATTTAATATGGAGAACAGCTCTTGCCACTAAATGTAACCAGTATTTTTGTTCTGAATCAAACATACCTTTTTTAGTCCTGCATTCCTTCTTTCTTTTCCTTATTTATTTTAAACTGCACTTGATAAGTGGTACTGTCTGAACTGCATGTTTGTTAACCAATACATTTATCTAAGTCTTCCCTTCAAATTGGTTATTTGAACTCAACAGACTATACCACTGATTGATACAAAATACGGTAGTTAAACTCTACTATTTAAATTTGTGAGCTAATTGTGAGAGCAGTCTTTTTTGTAGTTCACTGCATATAGTGAAACTTACATAAAAATACTGTTTCTTCAGTGTAAGCCTAACATTTTTTTTAAAATATCATGGCAATTTTGCAATTTTTCACTAAAATCTGTGCCTAGTTCAGATATAATAATGTATATTGTTTGTTAGTGAACTGAGTTTTTCAGTTGGAGAAACCTGTTTGTCCTAAACAATTTTCTGGTTTCTAAACTCTTTATTAAAAGTACCAGCTTGTGCTAGGATGATGTTGATAAAATGGATTGTAAAGATGATTTATTTTTTTTAAATACAGTTAATAGTATAGAGTAATGGAGAGAAGTTAAAAATTTTTCCATTTATTGTTTTATAAAAATTATTAGTGATTTTGTGTCCATGGATGTAGGTGTAACATTACTAGATTTTAGCTAGAATTCTGTTCTGTGTTTTTTCTTCCAGTTTGCATTAACTATAGTCTGAGATTGTATATATTTGAAACAAAGTTTTGTCAGGCTATATTTAAACTTTGATTTATTCTGTCCCTTGTTTTTTGAGGGGAAAAAAGGAGAAAGATCTGAATTCAAAAGAATAAACCTGCATGTTTATTTCTTTTGTTTGGGTTTGCTTATGTTAAATGAATGATACACAACAGCAGGTAGTACCTTTGTTTGTCAAACAGCAGCTGCCTTTTCAGTGTTTTGCCATTCCCGTTGGGCCTTAAAGAGATCAGAATCAAATGTCAATCCTGGATATCTTTTTTTCCTTTTGGTAGCATTATTGAGAGTTAACACTATTGCCATCCAACATAGCATTCAGGAGGGTTTAAATCTTTATATAAAACTGATGTGCGAAGGCCACTGATGTGTTAAAAGTAATGTTTTTTTATAGTGCTTTGCAAGCTTCTGCCAGGTATTGCCAGCTATATCAAAGTTCATCATACTAGATGAAAGTATATGTTGACTGCATTTTAGATTTTGCATAAAAACAGCATTGACTTTTCTGTTAAAACAATTCTTCAGTAGTTCTAGATGGTGATGAAAGTTAGCAATAAATGCTTCTGAGCTTGATGGGTTTACTCCTAAGCAACTCTTTAAGCAATATATTTAAGTTATTGCATCTAGAATAGACACATATGTTGTTCAAAGAAAAACAATTATGTGAGTTTAGAGAGACATCTTGAATTTAATTTTTTCTTTACTTTGAAGGCACACCAAAACAACTGGAGGACAAAATGGTGCAGAAGCTACAAGAGGATGTGGCTATGGAAGAAGACTCTTAAAATGCTTTAATTTTTTATTTATATCTCTTCAGCAGTTAACAGTTCCTTACTGCCTCACCTGACATCATTCAGAACTGTGTTTACGGTCAAAGAAAAAGACATTTTAATGAATAGTGGTTGTCTACAGTTTGAATTTTTTTTTGTTTTTATAAAAAATAGTAAGATGGATACTGGTTTGGGCAGTACTTATGATTTGTAATTTGAGAAAACCTTGTCAGCAGGATCGAGAATAAGTCATATTTTTTGAGATACTATGTGCTCCTTGGAAAGTTCCACTTTCTTTCTGGATAACTTTTCCCTGGTAATTCAAGGAATAAAAGATGTTGGCCTTGAACTTTTCCTGGTTTTTTGGTTTTTCTTTTCTAATGGTAAAGGCAGTTAAAAATATATCTTAATGATTACAGGGTGGGGTAGGATGTATTATTTTTCATCAGTGTAGACCAGACTTATTTTCACCCTTGGTAAAATTTTTCAATTTGTTATGAATGCATATAGTGTTTTACCTCCTTTTTAAGACAGGTTCCCCAGGATTACATTGCAGTTAATACCTAAGCCTGGCAAAGCTAACACTGACTTACTGCTGTTTGGAAAACAATAATGGTGATAGCATCCAGTCTGAAGTTGGACCTGCCATCCTCCTGACCTACCGAAATGCAAATCTGACATGTAATCAGGCTAAATGAGATGCTCAGTAAATCACACTTTTGACTGTTTTTACCTAACACTTGGGATTATTTTGACAGATAAGATGATCGTGTCAAAGCATAGGTATTTTGCATATTGTGATATTTATCTTTATTCAGTGTGTCATCAGTACTGACATAAATACTTTGCTTTTTTGATCTGTCAGCAGTTTATCTACAACGGTGTGATTGAAGAAGCCTTTCAGAGGCATTTAAAATACTATTTACTTTCTTGTCAGTGCTAGTTACCCTGAACAATATTAAATGTAGTTGTATTCCAGACTTGAATATGTGCTATATCAATCACTGGAAAACATCATACCTACCACCTACATGCCTATTGTGTAGTTCAGAAAAGAGTCCTGTTTGAACATATGAAAAGTGGCAGTGGGGAATGTAATGTGTGAAATAAACAGGCGTTGTACTCAGTTTTTCAGCTCTTGATTTATGAATTACATTTAGATATTTGGAAAACTTTGTTGTATTTTAGTGAGATAAAAATAACTGACTTCTAGTAATAAAAAGATGTAATTCCTTCATATTTTCATGAAATTAAAATTTTGCTATAATTTAAAATTTGCTCATAAGGTGATAGCTGATAAGTATTTTAGATATACAATATTAGTATTGCTCCTGTAAACTGTAATGTAAATTATGTCTCAAAAACTTCTGGTAAGTTAGCAGGAAAACATATGTCAATGGGGTGAAATCAGTAAGATGCTACAGTATAATCCTTGGACATATTGAAGGGAGACCTTCACAGAATGTTAATTAGTATGTTTATGTGTGACTATACAAGTTAACTCAGTGTTTCAGCTCAGGAAATGTGGGTTTTTTGCGTGGCCTGGTCTGTTTTACCGTAGTATTTGATGTCCTTAATTCTTGAAGTGGGGTACTTTATCTAAAACTCTTATTACAGATTTTTTTTTCTGAGTTTTAAAGATACGATGTTCAGTAAGTGCCAAGTTTTAATTTTCTCCAAAAATAGTAAAGTGAATCTGTGCAAAGCAGTGAAAGGTGGTGAATCTCATTGGATGTTGTGCGATATTTATACACAATCTTTTACTTCATATGAGGTTTTTTTAGCATTACATAATTTATATTGCATAGTATCTGTAGTTTTTCTTCCTACATATGTTTAAATTAGCTGCCATACTCTTAACTTGTTTGTGTGCTGTATAAAGTCTCTCTATGGGATTGTTAACCCTTTCCTATGGTAGGTTTGTAAGTGAAGCAGCCATTTTGCAGCCATTTGGGGAGCATACTACAACCATAAACATTCCTGCCAGTCCTATGAGCTGCTTAATGTGTGTACCTCATTACAACCCGTGTAGTAGTATAATTGCAGGCAAGAGCTATTTGAAAATTAATACTGAAGTTGTCCATTATTTTGCATGTGTGCTGTTTCCCTGAGAAGCAGAGAGTTGTAGCCTGCTGTGTAGACCTTGTGAGTACATAGGAGGTAGTTGAGTTTTAAAATTTGTCATAAGTAACATGCTTATAACACCTGTTTTGAAGGTGGCCTTGTGATTTTTTTTTTTTTTTTTTTTTTTAATTACTTTTAATTGCTATGGTGTCCTGTTCTCTTGCCTTTGTCAGCTGGAGCAGGATGTTGCTGAGAGGTGAGGGAGGGACATGGTGAGGGGGGAACAACTGCAGCAGAAGAACAATATGGGGCTGGTGATCCTCCCTCCTGTCCATCTCTGCATAACCCAGTGCGTGCAGAGACCTTCCTGAGGAGCTGCTCAACTGTGGAGGAGTGGTGGTTTTTCTTTCTCTTGTAGGGGGCTGGCTGTCTAACCACATTTCTGATAGGAATTGTTCTTATTCAAAGCCATTTTGGTGAGGAGCTGTAATTTTCTTTGCTTGCTTAGGATTAAAATTTTCAACTAAACCAACGCTGACTGAAAGTTCCTTTAGATTTTGTATTTTGTTTACAAGACTTGGAGATAAAATGTCTAACTGAGCAGTATTCTGGTGGTGGTGGAAAAATACTGCCAAATATCAGGAAGTAAAAGCATTCCTCTTTCCACTTCAACAGCTCTAGCTCAGGTGCAGGCTTGCGGAGGAGTGTGGTAACGTGCAAATGGGGAGCCCTCGTGTGCCTCCCGACTGCGGGGCTGAGCAGTGCACAGTCCTTTGGGGAGGCAGAACCTGCCATCAGTTCCTCCTTCAATAGCGAGTCAGAGACAGTATTTAATGAGCAGCACATCTTCAGAGACTTCTGTTTTAGTGTCATACATCCAAATCACTGATCCTGTCTGTGTGAAGATGTAGTAGGAGCAGAGCAGAAGGTGCTGTGAGTACAGTATGTTACCTGGCAGATGATGATGTGTCCATTTGATTCAATATTTAACCAGAAAAATAAATTATTTATGAATAACCAGTAATGCTTAATTCCAGTATACAATCCATCTTTACTGGCATTTACTAGATCCAACAAACCAACTGTTTTGTGTTTGTACTTGATGCCATTGGGGGCCTTTCTTCAAAACAAAGTATGATGGTCTCAATCAGAACAAATGTGATACTTGTAAAAAAATGCTTTTTAGCTTTAATTGCTGTCATCTTTTCTTACAAAACAAAAATGGATGAATGTTTTTCTTTTTTACAGAATGACTGTGCAAAAGCTGCAAATGTAGATTTTAATAGTGATTTATGAAGTGACTTTTTCTCATATTTCCCTTTCCTTTTTAATCCATCACTTTAATGATTTCAAGTTAAATGCTGGCTTTGTTTTCAGGAGAAGGTTAACCCCGTGCTAACACGTTTTGGCTGCTGCCTCACCCCCTTGTGCTGCAGAGCTCTGAGCAGGCCTGCAGCCCCCGCCGGGTTTACAGCCCTGCACTGAGACCCTGCAGGTGCCTTTTAGATCTTTTATCAAGTTTCATTCTTTTTGGGTATGTGGTTGTTATCATTACTATCCAAAACCCGACTGCTGAGGGGTGCTGTGTGGGGAACCATTTCTGTCGTGCCTGGGAAGCCTGTGGCACACTGAGTGACACCATCTTAGAACTAACATTTGCTGTTGGTTTTGTGGGATGCTAAATTTGGGAGGGAGGGAAAGAAGTGTTTATTTCCATGTATAGATCTGTGAATCAAACATGCATTTACTGCCAGACATGGAGGAGCAGCGATGTGGTGGCAGCACCAAGCTGCTGGGGCGAGCAGGGCAGGTTCCTGAGGAAAAAAGGCCCCTGCGGGTGCCCTGAAATGGCTGCCAGCCCCACAGAGAGCTTGGGAGTCCTCCTGGGCCTGCTTTGCAGAGGTGGTTTTCATACGAAGTAAGGCCTGGAGGAACTTCTTTTTGCCTTTGGTCATGCGTTGGTTTTGCGATCTATTGCTTGTTGCTTCGGCTGTCTGTGGAGTCTCTTTGTTTTCTTGTGAAATTTTGATCTTGAGAGAAAGACTGAAAAAACGAAGTGGTGGATGATGGTGAGGTTTTTTTGTTTTGCTTTGCGCTTTTTTTTTAAAAAAAACCAATCTTCTCAGGCTTCTCTTTCAGATTTTCCCTTTCATTTGCTGATAAATACAGTATGAAAAAAGTGAAAATTACTACTTTCTGTATAATTGAATTGTGCTGAACTGGTGCAGATTTTCTTCACAGGAAATTGAACCTTCCCATATTTTGAAAGATCTGACTTTTTAGTACTTGGCAAGAGAAAAAATCTTGCCAAGATTCTGTGGATAACAGTAATTTTGCAAACCAGCTGAAAAACAAAGGGTGTTAGATAGAGTAAACACATTTTGGAAATAGGATTATTTTTTCCCTGTAACTGTTCTGTGACTGTTACAGCTTAAAAGCTCTGTTCAGCCTTTTTTCCTAACCTCCTAAATATTAGATTTGGTTGGATGTATTTTAAATATTGAAAAACAGTTCCTAAGAGAAACGTGATGATGACTGGAAACTTTTAGTTTGCAGAAAGATGTTGGCGTGTGTTGTAATTTACGTAGGTAACTGACTTGAAATGTTCTTACTTTTAGAGTAACAGTGCAGTGGATCCCAGAACACGTACAAGATCTGTCCTTTTGTGACACAAAGAAACATAAATGTTCAATGTGTTGACATGGTCATATGTGTCAGTGGCTGGAAAAGCAATATGGACAGTTGCTAATAGGTCCAAAGGCTTGTGTCCCAGGAGATTATATTTCAACCTCCAGGCTGTTCAATTCCTCAATTACTGTTCTGGCCTCAAAAATTCAATCTCCTTCACCAGCCTAACTTATTTATGGGTTGCACTGAACTGCGACCAGGGAGAGCAAAAGGCCGAAATAAATCAGCAACTGATAAAATTGTTTAAGGCTGCTTGTTCTCTGTCTGTTTTTAGATCTCCATTTAAAAAGGCCTTATGCATAGAGATGCCTAGGATTTTTATTTTATTTATTTATTTATTTTATTTTATTTTATTTTATTTTATTTTATTTTATTTTATTTTATTTTATTTTATTTTATTATTTTTTTTTTAGGTATTACTATCAGTAATAATTAGTCTTTGGTGGTGTTTGCTAAATACAAGGAAGTTTTTTTCCTAATTGTGACCTAATTGTCCTGATTATAGCCATAGTGTTTTGAACAAGCAGCACTGAGACCAGGTAGGAAACAGGGAGAAATGAGGGTTTGTGGAGGTAGCTGGTTTGGAAGACATTCGT